GGAGGATTAGCATGGATGTTAGCTCAGGGCTGATCTTCCTCACAAAAAAACAAACAAAAAAAAACACTGTGGTGTCCTAACCAAAGCCCCACATGGGAGTCCGAATCCCCCAGGCCAACAGTTCTGGAAGAAGATGGAGGATAGAGCGGGAGGCTGTGGGAGGCAGGCCTCACCCCACAGGAGCAGTTTCCAGAAGGTCTTCAGGTTCTCCTCTGCAGGGTCCAGGTGGCCCCAGTCCCCCAGGTACAGAGGCACCTCCGGAAACTTCAACTTCTGAAACCGGGGCACAGCCCCAGTTGAGGCCTCCCACCAAGAGAGAGGGGAGACCCTCGGTCCCACAACCACAGCGACATGCTGGGGGCAGCACCGTCCTGGGGGCTCCTACCCACCACCCTGCAGGTTCTGCGCAGGGACCCCAGGTTTCCCCAGACCCAGCTCCTGGGTAACAGGAGAGCAGGGTTTCTCGGCCTCGGCACTCCGGACATTCTTTGTGGTGGGGCCTGTCCTGGGCACTGCAGGATCATTCCCAGCGTCCCGGGCCTCTTCCCTCTGGATGCCAGGAGCACCCCCACCCCCAAGTACTGACAAGAGAAGGGGGACAGATGAACCCCTGGTTGAGAACAACTGCTGTAGAGGACCCCAAAGTCTCCATCCCTCCACACCACACAGGGCTCCGGCTGGCACCCAGAGGGCAGCGGGACCCGAAAGCCATGCTCACTGCCCTCAGGGGAGACAGACAGACAGAGACCCCTGACAGAGGCCATGAAGGAGATAAAGTGGGTGGCCCTGTGGTGACACTGCCATGAGGCCTAGGTCTGGGGGACGTGTCTCTGGGGAAGAGGGAAGACGGCCTGAGAGGCCCGGAGGGCAGCACAGCCTCAGTGCAGAGGCACAAGGAGCGTGGGAGTGGGGAGGGGCTGCCACATATGGGGCGGGCGAAGCAAGGAGTCCCCTTTGTGGGAGGTGGGACTTGAGGGCAGGGGACCAGCAGGAAGGGTGAGGCAGAGGGCCAGGCCGGGAGTCACCACAAACTGGGTTGGGGGAGAGCACGCAGTAAGGAGCCACCTGGCCTCCACTGTGAGGTGGCGGTGGAGGGCTCGGGTCCCTCCCTCTGATCACAGAGACCTCCGCTTGCCCCACACCCACCCCTACCCCGGGCCAGGCTCATCACTGGGCTTCCCAAGGAGGCGGCAGCCTTGGGTGCCCAGCCCTGGAACCTCGGTCCACTCCCACTCCTGTCCCCTGGCCGGGCTCCCACCCCTTCCAGCCTCCCTGGCAGCTGGCGGCATATTGACGATGGGGGGAGCGAGAGAGGCTGATACGCTGGGGAGCGGGGGACAAGCCCAGTGGGCCCTGAACAAGGCAGCACCCACCCACCTTCGGCTCTGCCCTTGTGGGCTTGGCTTCTTCGGTCTTCTCCTCCCCAATGCTACCCTGTTCCCGAAGCACAGGGTCTGGAGCCGGACAGGCTAGAGAGAGGGGAAGGCAAAGCTGAGGAGACTAGTTCTCCACGGCAGGGCACCCCGAAACCAGTCAGGGAGACCCCACTGCCTCCCCGCACAGGTCCCAGGAAGAGAGCGAAGAGTTCTCAGACAGAGGCAGGGAGGCCCAGCGTGCTCATGGCACAGCAGGTCCCACGGCTCATCTGTCCTGAACTGACAGAGCAAGATGGCTAAGAAGAAAGAAAAACGAACCTCAAGCTCAGCAGTGGCCCCAAAACTCAAACTAAAGCCACAAAGAAGGTGACACTTTTCTACCCACTACACTGGTGGAAACCTGAAAAAGCAATGATGGCAGTGCTGGTGGGACGTGGGGAAACAGGCGCCCTCGTACACTGGCACCGCGTACACTACAAAACTTCTGGAAAACCGTGCGAACATGCCCTTTGTCCACCGACCCTGAGGAAGCCCAGACACACCAACAGAGCTCCCACACCCAGGCACATCTGAGCACGCCTCCCTGCAGCTCTGCAGGAAGGGGCGGAAGCCGCAATGGCAGTAAACGCCAACCCTGGACGAGGAAGGGCGGACCCTGCGAACCAACGGCCACGAAGGTGAGATGGCCCTGGGTATGGGCCACCACCAGAGGGGCCCGGGGGGCGAGGGGCCGCTCCGTGGGAACAGCACATGCTCAGGCACAAGGACACCACCTCCAGGGAAACCGGCCCCAAACCCTCCGCACAGGCCATGTGAGAGGCGTGTGCACGCGTGTGAGAGGCGTGTGCACACGTGTGAGATGCATGAGACACGTGTGCACACGTGAGATGTGAGGCGTGTGCACACGTGTGAGATGCATGAGACGCCTGTGCACACGTGAGATGTGAGGCGTGTGCACACGTGTGAGAAGCATGTGAGAGGCATGTGCACATGTGTGAGATGTGTGCGTGTGAGAGGCACAGAAAGACACGAAGGGACAGGGGCCAGGGCATGCCCCTTGGTTTTATTTCAGAGGGTACAAGGGAGTGGGGAGATTATTACTTTCTTCTTCATACCTCAATGCTTTTCACTGTCTGAGATAAGCGTGCATGATCTGCACAACTTTGAAAATTAATTAAAAATAATACTTTTCACATTCACCAGAGCCTAAGTAAAACGTCAGATTTACAGCACGGACTTCCAGGCTACCCAGCCTCCCTCTGGCTCCCATGACATGCACGCGTCTCCCTTCCACCCTCTCCCAATCAGAGCCCGGCCCACCACACCCACCCAAGGGCTGGCTAGTCACTCATGGGTCTCGGGGGACACTTGTGTCTCGCTGGGTTCCGGGTCTTCACTGGCTCTCGCGGCCCTTGCCGGCCCACCTGGTAATGGCAGATGACAAAAGCTCAGTGTGCTTCCCACACTCACCTGCTCAAAGCTGTGGACGGCCCCTGGGGGACCCCCTCGGGAGGACTGGACAGCATCCCCGGCCCCACCAGAGCAGAGAGTGAGCCGAAAAGGCTGAGACACTGCTAACAATCACAGTAAACCCACGGGGACCGGGTGTGGACATGGCCACATCACCATGGCCTCATCACCACAAGCCCCACAGCCCCTACCCTCAAATATGATGGAGACTCTGTCCACCCAGCCCCAGAGCGCCCCTTCTTCCCATACTGAGGGGAGGGGCCAAAATGTGCCCAGAACATCTACTCAGTATTTAAGGGGCTGGTTCCTCCTGCTTCCTTATATGTGGAAGGTAGATGCAAGCGCAGGAGCCCAAGCAGCCTTCCTGGCCCATGAGGCAACCCTGTGGGTGATGCCACCAGGTAGGGTGGGGGTCAAATCCCCGCTGACTGAGAAGCTGCCCCACCAGCTCAGGGCTGCTATCCTCTGTGACTCTTACATGTAGAGGAACTAAACTCTTTCAGGTAAGCCACCAGCTGGGCTTTGGGTGCTATGCTGTCTATCTCAATCCTTCCAGGGCCAGCCCCCTCCCCATTTCCTCTAAGGCACGTTCTCCTTTGGGGTGGTGGCCTCACCTGGCTCCTCTAGGGCCTTGGTGAGGTCCTCCACCAGGGATGCCACCTTGTTGCAGCTCTCGGGATGCTGCGCCACCACCCAGGGCTGGACTTGGTTGGGCAGGGCACCCAGGAACTGCTCCAGCACCAGCAGCTCCAGCATCTGCTCGTTGGAGCGCACCTTGGGCCGCAGCCACTGGCAGCACAGCTCATAGAGCTAAGCCAGGGCCTGGTGGGACCCAGCTGCCTCCTGGTAGACAAAGCTCCGGAAGTGCAGGCGGGAAAACTCGAGGTCAGCAGGGCCCCTCCTGGAGATGGTCTCCTCCTGCTGGTCCCCGGCCGCCGACCGTGGCGTGGGCGGTGCTGGGGGAGCTGCGGAGTTCCTGGGGGCGGCAAACGCCTTCTCCAAAGGCAGCATCTCTCCAAACCTGCACTGGGAAATGTGACTGTGCCTCAACAGGGACAGGGCGCCTGTCATGGAGGGCGAGTCCATACAACTGCAGCTCTAACAGAGAGACAGCAGGGACGACAGGGTCCTCTGGGATCTCAGCCAGAGTCCAGACCTGCGGAGGACAGACAAAGAGATGCCCATGAGGTGAGAAGAACCACACCAAAGGAGAGCAAACAGGGGCCTCCTCACTCATCAGCCCCGCACCCACCACACCCAGAGTCCACGCAGAACTATTTCCAAGCAATCCGGTTGTTAAATATCAGTAGAGTTTTGTACTTGTGTAGATAAAAATTAACATAAAAAGTGGGAAATGGCAACTCATTTTGTAAGACTGCTATTACCAAGATTAACAAATAAAATCAGTCACGGATAGGAGAAAGAAAAATACAGGACAGTCTCACTTACAAAGATGTAAAAATCTTAAAACATTGGTAAACTCATTCCAACAATGTATTTTACATACATGATGCATGTAACATCACACCAGATTTGGGTTCATCCCAGAAACGTGACGTTTGTTTAACACTAAAAAATATATTATGGGGCTGGCCCGGTGGCATAGTGGTTAAGTCTGCCCACTCCGCTTTGGCAGTCCAGGGTTCACAAGTTCAGATCCCCGGCATGGACCTATGCACCACTCATCAAACCATGCTGTGGCAGTGTCCCACGTACAAAATAGAGGAAGACTGACACAGATGTTAGCTCAGGGAAAAATCTCCTCAAGCAAAAAGAGGAGGACTGGCTAACAGATGTTAGCTCAGGGCCTATATTCCTCACCAAAAAAAAAAAAAGTTATATACATATAAATATATTATGGGGACTTCACTTTCCAATAACGTGGCAGGGCTAGGTGTCAGGATTTCTCCTCCTATTAAAAACAACTAAAGATCTGAAACACATCAGTGGACAGCCTGCACCCATTTCTGGAAATGGCACAGGCCTGCAGACCTGGACTGACGCACCCACAGAGCCAGGCAGGAGGTGTAATAAGTGGGCCAGAAGTGGGGTACAATGGGGAGAGAAGACTGCGGTGAGTGGGTTTCAGGTCCTGACCAGCCCTCTCCCCACCCCCAGCTGATCCTGACAGGCAGCCACATCATTCAAGAGAAGCCAGGTTCAGGAAGTTTAGGTGAAAGGTCTTGATTGTAACTGTTGGAAACACCAACTAAACTAAACGACAGAACCCAGCAGGCCGCAGCTGGCCAGGCCTCCAGCCTCCAGCCGCCGGCCTTGGGCCCACAATGTTCTCAGTGGCTGTGAACATACAGGGACATGAACTCCGACTCCTCCCAGAACCTGCCGGGTCTGCAACTCTCCCGGAAAAAACCAGAAGATCTACAGACCCTGCTGGGAGGGAGCCGGCCCAGACAAAAGCCACCAAAAATCCAGTGGGAATGCTCCCCTTGGCTGAGCCACAGAAACGAACCAAGTTTTCTTCCAAACACACGGCTGAGGAATTCAGGAAAATCTGTGCGTGACCACTGCTGCGGTGAGAATGCTTCCTCGGCAATCCCACTTTCACAGAGAAAACTCTGCAAGTGAGCTGACATGGGGCCAGGCGTCCCCTACTGCCTCCCAGGAAGCGCTGGTGAGCTCTGTCTCCACCTGGCACAGGGTGCCAGGACCTTGCAGCCCTGGGGGTGTTTGATTCCATCTCTATTTCTACGAAATGTCCAGAACAGGCAAACCCACAGAGACAGGAAGCCGATCAGTGGCTGCCAGAGGGGCAGAGGAGAGATCGAGGAGAACCACTGCTAAGGGGCCCAGGGTTTCTCTTTGGAGTGACGAAAACGTTGTAAAATTAATTGTGGTGATGGGTGTACAACTCTGTGAATATACGAAAAATCACTGAGTTGTATACTTTAAACAGGTGAACTTTATGGTATGCAAATGACATCTCAATAAAGCTGTTAAAAAAAAGAAAAAAAAACGACAGAGGCTCCACAGTCGACAGCTCCCCTCTCCCTCTGAGGCTAGAACTCTGAGCGCCTCAGAAGACACTCTACTTGGGGTTCCGGGTTCCTTTTCCCTCCAGGAAGAAAGAGCCCTGCCACACCACCATTATCACCACCATCTCCCCACTCCTGCCTCCTCTCCCCTCACCCCCTCCTCAGGGTCCCTCTCATCTTACCTCCCACAGGGAGACCTTCCCTCCACTGCCTGCAAGCTCCCAGCCCTCCTCACCCCCACGCCTTCCACCTGCCTACTGCTTGCTGCCCCACCAGAATGGGAACCCCAGGGGAGCAGGGGTTACTCACAGGGGGGCCCCTGGGTAGCATCTATTTACCACATAACTGATTTTTAATGGTGCTAGTTCTCTGTTGAGAGGCATGCTGGCTGTGCCTAGTTTCTTTGGCCATTACAGACCCTCACATCCGTGTACATGGGGTCAGGCGGGTGATATATTTGGAAGATAATGGAGAGGTCAGACACCTGGGCCACTGGACATGTGCAGCGACCCAGCAGCCCACAGGAGGCACCCTCAGCCTGCCACCCACTATGGCAGCACCCACAAGATTCCCCTTCCTCACGCCCCGCACTGGGGACCGGACCCTCAGACCACAGAATCTCCTCATTGCACTGCCAGCATTTTCTCAGGATTTCTTTATGTCTGTGTGTCAACCGCCCGCTTTTCCGTGGCATTTTTCTTATAGCTCCCTTTCTGTCAAGTAGTTAAAGCGCTCTCTGGCTCCAACGTGCAGGTGTCCCCGTCTATGGCTTGTCTTTTTACTTCATGCTCTTTCGGCCACACATGAGGTTCTAATGTTTCTAATTGTCAAAGTCACTAGATTTTTAAAATAGATTTCTGAGTTCAGAAACTTGATTAGAAAGGGCTTCCTTCCTGACCTCAGGATTAGAAACGCATTCTCGCATTCATTCTGCTAGGGCAGGGGTGGAAATGCAAAGGGACAGACAGAAAATATTCTAGGCTATTAAGGCCAGTCAGTCTCAGTTGTGACTACTCAGCTCCTCCTCGTGGTGGGAAAGCAGCTGGGGCCACCTGTACACCATGGGCCTGGCTGTGTCCCCAAACAGCTTCACTACAAAACAAGCGGCTAGCTGGCCTGCAGGTCACAGTTTGCTGACCCCTGTTCCAGATTTTTGTGTATGTGTGTGAGGAAAATGGTCCCTGAGCTACCATCTGTGCCAATCATCCTCTATTTTGTATGTGGGTCGTCTCCATAGCCTGGCTTGATGAGTGGTGTGTAGGTCTGTGCGAGCAACCGAACCCGCGAACCAGGGGCCACCGAAGCAGAGTGCTCGAACTTAACCACTAGGCCACCGGGCCAGCCCCAGACTTTAATTTTTTAACCACGTCTCTGTCTCTGACTCTGACTCATCTAGAGCCGCCCGTGGCGGGAGGACTACCGCCAGCTCCAGCAGGCTGGCACAGCCGAATTTATCCTGACAGGCACGGGATACACGGAGCTCTACGCAGCATACGGGCAGATCTGTGGTCACACGAGCATGTCATTTTGGTTTTCTTAGGATACCATGGGCATGCTCATCCTGCACGGAACCCGGCCACAAAAGTAACTGAACTTGCTAATGTGTGTGTGCACCGGGCTCATCTTCACCAGAGCCTCACAACCCTGGTCCCAGCCCAGTCACTTGCTGCAAGGATTTTCTGGTTAGGCAGAGGGACCACCAGGATCCTTTCCTGACCCCAGCTTACTTGAGGCCATGCAGCGCTGCCCAAGTTCCTCCGGGCTCAGTCACCAGGCAGATCCCGTCCCACACACACAGCTTGGGGACCCCCATGATTTGCCTTAGATGGGGACAGGATTTTCCTGGAGCCCAGGCTCCCTCCCCCAACCATGGACATGGCTAGAGCTGATCCCGTGGGCCTCACCTGCCTAGTCCCAAGGTGCAGAGGAAGTCAGGGTGCATGGGTGGGCGGTTGAGCTGAGATAACCCCAAGCCTGGTGGACCTCCTGCAGGCAAATCCCCTTCACAGTGGGCTGAGCAGAGATCAAGCTTGGCTCCCAACTCCTCAGCTCTAACTCCAGGCCCTGCCAATCCCCCTCCCCCTCCCCCCACATTCCCACCTCAAGGACTCAGGATATTCATAGGCGGCGTGGCCTCACCCAGGGATCACCTACTCATTATAAACGGGGAAAGGTGCCCTTACAATGCAAAAGCTTGGAGCAAAGGATCATCTTTAACATTTCAGCTGCTTTCTCTGGTCCCTGCCAAGAAAGTAAACTCTGGATCCACACACGAGGACAGACAGACCCCAACCAAGAGATGTATGCACGACCGGCCAGGGCCCCAAAAGCCTCAAGGTCAGAAACTCAAAGGAAGTCACAGACCCAAAGAGCATGCAGAGAAACAGCGACAATAGCAACATGAGGCCCGCAGCAGGAAAGGAAACTTCTGCTGGAAAAGAAACTTCTACAAGACATTGCTGGGGTGACTGGGGGAACGAGGGACTAAACTCTGGTATGGAGGTGAGGATGGGGGGGGGCCTGTCCAGCCTGGCCTCCGAGGAGTCAGCTAAGATACAGGCAAGTGTATGAGACACGGGAGTGGGGTGGGGAGAGAGGAGAGAGAAGGCAGGGGGAGGGTGGAGAAGGGGAGGAAGCGGGGAGTGAGGAGAGAAAAGGGAGTGAGGAGAGAAACGGGAGAGAGGAGAGAAGAGAGAGAGAGGAAAAAGGTGACGCAAAACAGACCGAATACCAACAGGTGAACCTAAGCAAGGGTATGCGAAGTTCTACAGCCTTTCCTTACAACTCTTCCATACATTTGAAACTTTTTTTTTAATTTTTTTTTTTTTTCCCCCAAAGCCCCAGTAGATAGTTGTATGTCATAGTTGCACATCCTTCTAGTTGCTGTATGTGGGACTTGGCCTCAGCATGGCGGGAGAAGCACTGGGTCTGTGCGCGCCCGGGATCCCAACCCGGGCAGCCAGCATCAGAGCGCACGCACTCAACCGCTAAGCCACAGGGCCGGCCCTGAAACTTTTTTTAAGGGTCTAAAAAAATCCTCAGTGGTCCCCATTCTCCTTGCCAGCTCCTCCGCCGGCAGCAACAGGGAGACCCATTCTTGCCCTTCTCCCGTGGGGTTCCCTCGCCCACCAAAGGAGTCGCAGAGCAGGGGCAGACACTACCTGAAACCGAACCCACCCCCGGGGTACCGGAGAGGCAGGGCGTCCCGAGGGCGCCACCCGAGGCGGCATGGCACCGCCCCTGCCCCCCTGAACCCACACTCAGGGCCCCGCCTCCCCCGCTCCCTCCCGGGGCGCCGCA